ACTTGGTAGCTTGATGTGGAGAGGAGGGGGTTACTCTGTTCAACAGGAGGCAATATCTCAGAACATCTTGGTTTATGCACTCCAGATTGTGGCCATTTATTGCAGCTAACTAGTGATGCAATCCTTCATCCCTGGGGTAGGGCCACTGACTTCATCCCATTATCTTTAATGGGATTTGGCCCATTATCTTTAATTTAGATCTGTAAAGGGCAGAGAAAGAAATAGGGGTTTTCTTAGGAACAGTAATGTGTGATGTCTTTTAAAATTGGCTGTTTAGTTCCCAGGAGGATTCTTCAGTGTAAGAGGAGTGATGAGGTGGGGAGACTTGGTCCCTGAGTGGGACCAGACCCAGCCTCATATCATATCAGTGACGGATGCTATGGCTAAGTGTGTGGGGGGGCAGATCTTTGTATGACTGGCACCTGATAGCGCCCTCAAGTGGAAAGGGGTGTTATTCTCTATTGGAACAGATCTGATTGCTAGCAAGGTCCAATGGATATAAAATCTCTCCTAGTTGTAAGGGTGTTTTCTCCTACAAACTCACAAATTAAGTAGTAAAATAAAACTGCGACCTTTCCTCTCCATTGTCTGCTACTGCTGTATGTTAATTTGGGCTTTGGAAGGGGTTGATGGGGGTGGCCACCTGCCAACACGAAGTTATGTGCAAAAGGGTTTGCACTCCTAGCAAAGGGAGGAAAGCAGATCTGTCCAAGGAGCAGGAAAGAGCTAGAGGGTGAGAGGCTGCACTTCAGGAACCTCTGGGCCACTGCAGCTCTGGAAGGTCCTGCAGCTGGACTGGGCTGGGCTGATGGAAATTCAAGAAAACCCAAAAGGATTTAGCCAAAGTTGCAATGCAGAACAGATGGGAAACTCTGCACTTTTCCTCTTCTGATAGATGCAAATTGATAGAGAGGACAGAATGTTGGATTTATAATGTGCATCTCTTTGTGTTGGGCAGTCAGGGTTTGTTCCTTTGTGGTGTGTGTGTAAACTCTCAGGGTCTGGTTTTTTTTAATTTTCACTGGCTTTATAGCAGTACAGTTCCAATGAACTCAGTGCAGTCACTCCAGATTTGCAGTTATGAGTGCAGAATTAATCTGCTTGGCTCAGATCTCCAGCCGGTACCTATCAGCAAAGGTCCCTTGTGCAGTCATACAGATTTACACCATCTGGGAAACTGACCCTATCTGACCGTTGCTCGCATTTCTCTCCCTGCACCCCCACAAAAAGAGCTAAGTGGCTTCTGTTGTTTTTATTTACTATGATGATGATAAACAATCCACAAACCAGAGCTTGGTTAAAGACTGAGATGCCGCTGGGTCTTTGGTTACAGTAATGTGGCAGCAACACAATAATGCAGATGATGAATTCAGACAAACAGTCAAACTTTGAAATAAGCCTCACCAGAGCAAGTTACTCCAGAGCAGTGAGTGGAGGTTAATACTGTTTCTGTTTGAACCCTGAGGTTTCAAATGGATTAGAAACACACCCACTCCCTTCCCCCTTTTTAAACACCCCCGTTAACTGTGTTTGACTGAGTGCGGGTTTTGTACTCTGGCTCTTTTCTGAAGAATGGTGGGTTCTCAAGCAGCTGTAACATGAATTCCCCCCAGCAAGTAGACAACTTCTGAGGTGGATCCTTAGAACTTTGTTACATCAGGGGAAAGTGTTG